ATCCAGGCCATAGTCTTCAAATTGCTTGCTCTATGTCAGAGAGCCGGACAATGACTAGCGATGATAGAAAGAGAATGTATGCCTTTGAGCTGTGGTACTGGAGGAAAGTGTTGAATATACCATGGACTGCCAAAAGAACAAACAGGTTCATCTTAGAGAGGGTGAAGCCTGGCTGCTCCTTGAAGGCAAGGATTCTGAGGCTTCATCTGACATACTTTGGGCATGTTGCAAATAGGAACCAGTCCTTGGAGAAGGACATCATGCTTGGAAGGGTGGAGGGATGGAGAAAGAGAGGGAAAGCGTCGATAAGATGGATTGATACAGTGACTGGGGTAATGAGGGTAGGTGTGTCAGAGACAATGAAATTGGCACAGTATAGAGCAGGTTTCAGGGCTATTGTACATAGGGTCGCTATGAGTCACAAGTGACTCGATGGCACATAATAACAATAACTTGGATAAGGTGCAACTGGGATGTTCCTTGGAAACAAGGCTAGTGAAACTTCGTCACACATACTTTGGGCATATTATTGGGGAGGATCCAGTCATTGGGAAGGGACATCACACTTGGAAAGGTGGAGGGTCAGCGAAGGAAGGGAAAACCTCAGTGAGATAGATTTGACACAATGGCTGTAACAGTGGGCTCAAGTATAGCAGAGATGATGAAGATGGCACCAGAGAGGGCCAGGTTCAGGTCCATTGGTCATAGGGCCACTGTGAATCTTAACCAGCTTGATGGTACCTAACAACAACAACCCATGCCAAACCATGCCCTGTACAATTTAACATCTCCCCTCCTCTTACTGGTACTGGCTGTAACTGCTCCCTGTGCTTTACTCCCTCAGTGGGGCCTTTCCTGTGGGTCTCCCCAGAATGACATAACTAAACCCCAGGTGCAGAATGTCAGGAACCAAGGTTAGAGTGTCCCATGTGACTCTAGGAGGAGACTTGTGCTTCCTGCCCTCCTCTAGGAGGACAGTCACAGAAAGAAGTTCCAGGGTGCTCTCCCCGCCGTCTTGGGTCTTCCTCCACCTACATTATCCAGGTACCTAAGCAAAGAGTCCTTTATTTCTCTCTCCCTTTCTCCTGGCTGTTGCGGAATTGAGGCAACTTGAACATAGAAGAAGAAGAAAAGCGTTCTAGAAGTGATGAGGTGCTGTTCTCAGCTAAAGCCTTGCTTTGCCCTTATTTATCCCTGCTTGCTAAGTGAGGACTTTAACGTCATTCTCACCTGGACCAGAAGATAGACTGAAGCTGAGAGCGAGCAGAAGAGAACATGCTCCCGCATTAGGGCTGCTGAGAGAAGGGCCTCTGGGTTGGGTGAATTGTATAATTTAGTAAATATTCACAGAACATCTGTTGTGAGGCAGATGCTGAGGATGCTAGGCAGTGGGGATGTAAAACAAAACGATATTTAGAAACAGACATGTGACTTTGTAGTAGAAATAGGAAGGGAGCACTGGTGGCTTAGTGGTAAGGAATTGCATTGCCAACACAAAGTTATGTGGTTCGAATCCACTAGCTGTGGAAGAAAGATGGGCAAACTCCTCCCGTGGAATTTACTGCCCTGAAAATCCACTGGAGGGTCAGCTATGAGTTGGTTCTGACTTGACAGTTCTCAATAACAGTAGAAACAGATGGAGAAGCCCTGTGCCTTGGGCTTCTGAGGTGATTCTTGGTAAGGAGGGTACTATGGTTAACAAGTAGGAATTATTAGCAGGGTGAAGATGGACGAGAGAGAGTCTCTGCTTTCAGGCTAGGAGAAATCCTTCAGCATCTCTGGAGGATAATTTGGTTAAGGAATTGCACTTGGAGTATAAAAGCAGGCAGTTAAATCCACCAGCTTCTGCATGGGAGAAAGATGGGCAGTCATCTCTCATGCAGTTTATGGCCTCCCACCAGAAGATCAGCTTTGAGTCAGTTCTGACTCTGTGGCTAAGAGTTGAGTGTTGTTGAATTGGTAAGAGAAGTGGGCAGCAGTCAGATCAAGACAGACCTCCTAGATGTAGGTTTTCTAATAAAGGCAATAAGAGCTACCAAACAATGTTGAGTAAAGAGTAATATAATCAGATCTATGTGGAAAAAAGGTCGTCTGGTGACTGAGACCAGCGAGGGATGGCTGGAGCACATTAGAGCTTCGGCCAGGAGGGACCTAAGATTTTATATTTTATCTGAAGAATATTAGCCATAAGAAATCCTTAGGCTCATTGGACGTGGAGGATAGGTTGGAGGTGAGATTAATACAGAAATCAAATCTAGCGTCCACACCAACCTGCGCTGGGGGGAAGAGGGTAGTTGGGGAAAGACTTGAGAGTCTAGCTGGGATTTCATAGGGGCAGACTCTGCCTCTACCAAAGGTGTGAGCAGTGAAGGAGTGGAGTGGGAAGAGATAAGAGGAGTGTCAGGACAAGAGGGAAGAGCCTGTTCTAAGCTCGGCACGTAGCAGCTTGTGGCCCAACACCTACCATTTGTGAAGGTTACTCTGCAAATGAGATTGAAAGCCAAAGGACCGGACTGGTTTGATTATTTATCTAAACTTAATCTCCAGCCTTTATGTGCCAGGAGTGTCAAGAGAGTGCCTAAAAAAAAAAAATAATCTGATGGGGGGAGGTAGTTAAGGAAAATGGTTTGATGCGTTATACCTTATTCTCCTAAACATGTTTTCAAGTGTGTCTCTGCTGAACACTTCAAACTGTCTCTCCTCATCCCCAGCAAACACCCACATACTCTCTCCCTCCTGCCAGTATTCTAGACACTTCAGTGCCAAGAGTAAACTATCAGCCAGAAAAGGACGCTAGTAGGAAGGACAAGGAGCAGAGGCAGGTGGCTGACGAGGTGTTGCTTTGGGCCAGGCCTTCCTCACAGCCCCTGGGGAATAAACTTAGCTCCCCTGTGCCTTTCAGTGCCTTTCCTTTGAGGAGAGGGCCCGATGCTGTCTGGGAGGTATGCTTGCTCTCTCCTGTGGAAGGGGGACGGGTACCACTCCTCCTGTGGGACTCTGTTGCTTTCTTAAGTAGCCTTTTTCAGACATCGCAGGAACAAATTGTGGGATGGAGTAAGAGCTCTTAGGAAAATTGTGCTTCTCAGGGTTGTTACTCAGATACTAGTATTGAAGGAGTTAGGTGGGCAATCTGTGCCAATCTCATGCCTCCTTCCTTACAGGGGGCTGTATGCCCCAGAGGGAAGGTGTGCGGCCATGTGTTCTGTGCTCAGGTCTTGTGCAGAGCAGTCACTGCCCTCAGGGAGGCGTCTCCCTTCACTTAATTTCTTCTCTGCTATGGGAGTAAACTCAGACCCCTCTAGGCAAGCACTTACAGAGCCTTCCTGTCCCCACTAAGCAGCCTGGTATGCGTCCGTCATACTCTGCCAGTTCTCTCCCCTTTACTTTTGTTCATGCAGTTCCCTACCAACTCTACTGACTGTCAAAGCTCAGCTCAAGATCCCCCTCTCCTGGGAGGCCCATTCCTTTACCCCATGGCAAAGCCGATGCCTTTAGAGGGCTGTGCCACATGCTTGGGCACCGATCCATTGCCATTTGAGAAAATGTGTGTGTGTGTGTGTGTTCTCTTCCAACTAAAACAGACTGCTCGTAGGGTGGGGTAGAAGTTTGACTGGTGCTCAAGGGGCACCTGGCCCAGAATTAGAGCCCAGGAGACTTGCTTTGTAGATGAGGTTTTTTCCCTCTTGCCTAGATCCTGGGTTGGGGCCCAGATAGTGCTATTATTCTCTCTGCCAGTAAATGTCCACACGCAGAGGACTTACAGCCTGAGGCCTGATGAAGGAGCAGGGTGAGCAGGCAGTCGGCCAAGGGCAGCTAGAAGCTCTTTTCAGAGGCATTCACTCTGGCTTTGACTCCTTCTCTGTCGATTCTGGAGTATGAGCCCTTGCCCCTTCCTCTTCTAGGTCTCCCACCTCCATTTTTGGCTGAGGACTCGTTGCCCAATACCCAGTGACCCACCCAACCTGGGCTGTAAGGTCCCCTGGTCCCAGAATGTGTTACTGAAGGTTTAGTAGGGGAATTCCAAACCACTGAGGCATGTTCTCTACCCTTCTGGTTTTTAAATATTTTTTTTTCTTGTGTACCGTTGAATCAGATCCAGCTAGCACAGGAGGAGATTGCCCCTCCTTCTCCAGCAGAGCATCTGGTGGATTCGAACCTCGAGCCTTTGGGATTGCAGTGCAGCTTCTTTCTGTACCCTTCTGGTCTAGAGAAGACAACAGGGACAGTACCTCAGCTTTCCCCCAGGGAGGCCAGACTACAGCTCATCTCCCTCTTCAGCTATTTCTGTTATTCAAAGAATATTGAGTAGACAGTGGGAGAATCCATTCCACAGATGGAAGATGTCATTTGGTGACTGGATAGACCCATGAGGGGCAAGGCACACATTAGAGTTTTTGTTAGGAGAGAAATAAGATTTTATATTTATATAGTGTCAGAGTAATGGAGGAACGTACACAGCATGACTTGTACTATTTAAATGTGTCCTAAGGATGGGCCCGGCCATAAAAATGAACAAATCTGTCTGGGAGTGGGCACAGCTGGAATGTTGTCAAAGGCAAAGATGATGAGATTTTCATCTCATATACTTTGAATGAGGAAGGACCAGTCATTAGAGGAACACAACATACTTGGTAAAGTAGAATATCAGTGAAAAATAGGAAGGCTCGTAATGGGATGGGTTAGCCCAGTGGTTGCAACAGTGGGCTCAAACACAGCCGTGATTGTGAGGAAGGTGCGAGACTGGGAGGCGTTTTATTCCGTGCAAAGGGGTTGCTAAGAGTTGGAGCTGACAGCAGCAGCAATAACAAAGTACAGGCCCCTTCTTAGAAGGCTGTGGCTACACACAGAATAACTGGAATATCTCTTTGCTTCTTCTCCAAGGAAAGTCTGACTTTGCCTTAGGATCATTTGGGTCAGGTGCTGTGGGACAGGTAGGAATGGGGTAGAGCACGACGGAGGGAAGCAGCCAGAGGTTACCCCAGGCTTGTTTGTCCTTTCAGACTGGAGGCCGGCACTGAATCTCGCTGCCCTGGACTGTGCTGACGAGACCAACAACGCAGTCTGCAGAGACTTCAACATCCTTGGCTTCCCGACCGTGCGGGTGTGTGGCAAAGAGGGGAAGTAGGGCCGGGATGGTTCTGGTAGAGTGTGTTCTCAGCTGCGCTGTGCTTCCCGGGCCTCTGCTATTGGGCTCGGCTAGTTTAATTCTCAGCCGCTGGCTGCTTCTGCTTGGTGAAGCACCTGATTTCGAGGTAGGAAGGGATGTGAGTTAAGAGACAGAAAAGAAAGGTTCATTAGGTGTGGGAAGAGAGAGAGAGAGAGTGAGTGAGTGTGTGTGTGTGTGTGTGTGTGTGTGTGTTATGGGTGGACTCTAGCTGCCCAGAGTGTGTGTGTGTGTGTGTGCGCGCGCGCGCGCGTTATAGGTGTACTCTAGCTGCCCAGAGAGTGAGTGTGTGTGTGTGTGTGTTGTTATGGGTGGACTCTAGCTGCCCAGATATGAGCTAGGAGGTGGTTTTCCTCTTGGGCTGGTGAGAGCTCCCGTTTCTAGGACCCTTTCCAATTCCTCTCCCTCCTGACCTCCTAGCCTTAGAGGTCTGGTCTAACCCTGTAAAACCAAGACTCAGGCTGTAACCATCTGTGGGCAGGACCAGATTCAAAGGGCCTACCAGACCCTCAGAAAGAGACCTCAGAAACACCAGCAAGCTTCATCCTCATCAGGTAAGTGTCTTAAAACTGACAGCCACTGGTAGCTCAGAGGTGATCTGTCAGAGCAGCCTCGCCCCGGGTCCAGATAGATGCCTGTGCCTCAGGCAGCAGAGATCTCCGGCATGGGCGGCATCACTCCCGAGGCATGAGAGCTCCGTCACCCGGCCTGGGCAGAAAGTGGCTCAAGCTCTGACAATGCTTTTGCCCTGCCCCCTGCCCATTGGTGGCTTAATTACTATCTGAACAACCTCCAACACCTTGAAATGGAAGGTACTGGGAAGCCCGGAGCAGCGAAGCTGCTGGAGCGGGAATCTGGGCCCAGTGCTCTCCAGGACTCAAGCCTGTCTATACTAAAATTCTGTATTAGAGAATCAAAGAGGTTGATTTCCTCAGCCTTTCTTGAGAGAGTGACAGGGACAGAAGTAATACCTTTATCTCCAACTATAAATAAGAAAGTCTTTTCCCTCCAGAATGATATCTAGGAATAGCAGTTTCCTCCACAGCCAGTAACACTAGTCAGGAAATGCCTTTGAAAGCTGAAATGCCAAGTATTGTCCCCGGAACAGGATCTCTCTGAACTCGGGCCTCAAGGTCTAAGCAGAAACATGAGCTGCAACTCAGCCTGATTAACCTGAGAGAATTCATCTGGAAAGCAAGGCCCCTGGCTTCTCCAAGAATGTTCAGCTCCAATTCCATGTGACCTTTCTGTTCCTCACGTCTAGTGAAACCCTGCTACCTTCAGGGTTTCCATAGCTCAGTAGAGCTCCGCTCCTAGGCTGCTGTAACCACTTAAGGGGCAGGCCCCAGGTTTAGCTGAGACCAGGCTGGTCTAGGCAACAGTATGGCAAGCCAGTAAGCTGTTCCTTAGAGGTGGCAGCAGAGAGCTTTGTGTGTCATTCATCTTTATTTTAAAGTGTAAGTCCTCCCCTAGGCATTTCCATTGTCCTATATCTTTACATGCAGCCCCCAAAGCCCGCAATATATGACTAAAGTGACTCAGTTACAGGGCACTCCATTCCTCTACTGGAGCAACCCTGAGTGTGAAACTGGGGGAAAATCCAATATGGCAGCAGGAAACCCTCATTCACAGGCTGGTATTCTAGTGAGAATGAAGCACAGGAGTCCAGCCCCTAGGAAGGACTGTCATTGGTGCCATGGCCAGACCAGGTCTTCCTGTGCGTACTCTGTGGGGTCTGACACCTGGGTCTTTTGGTTTCTGCTTGGGAGAGGCTGAGGCCCCATGGGTGTGAAGGAGGCAGCCAGTCAGTTGGGATATCCAGAGGTTCCTCAGCACCTGTCCAAGTCACGCAGCACACGCAGCATGAATACCTTACATAATGAATCATCTCAGTAACCACCCAGCTGGCTGAGGGAGGAGCGCTGGTTTACAAATCCGAGCCCTGGGAGGGCCCTTCACTGGTCTCCTGGACCTTCCCCTGCCTCCAGATAGACAGCAGCTGGCTGGGCCAGTCTAGTAGTCCTCTGTCTCATTCATAAAATCTCCATGTGTCCTCCCTTTGTGGAACCTTCCCTTCCTCTCCTGAGGAAGCTGCCATTCAGTTGGGACCAAAGAAGGACATTCAGAGGCCTATCCAAAGCCTGCCAGCCGTAGACAGTGGCTGGTTAGGCTATTGGCCAGTCAGTGTTCTGAGGCCCTAAAGCAGTGGCTTTCACATGTTATTATGACAAACCCACAGTAAGAAATACACATTCTACATTGTGATCTAGAAATTGCATATTATCTGTGTATTCAAAATCTGTATATTATCAGTGAAACCAATTGCATACAAAATCACTTAGTAAGTGTAATACATGTTGACATTTCCTGTTTTTTATATTCCTTTTTTTTTTAAGTGCCAGCTATGAGTCACTAAATTGATTTTATAGTTTACTAATAGATTACTCCAGAGTTTGGGAAACACTCCTCAAACAGATTTTATATCTGCAGAGATTCTGGCCCACAGACAACCCAGTGTGTTTGCAGGCATTGTGGCTACACTCTGGAAAGCAGAGCTCGCCCTCGGTCTGGCTGTGAGCAGGCCAGAGAGCTACCCCTGTTGCCCTGTCTGCTGCCTCTTGGGAACTGGACTCAGCCCTTAAGGCCATCAGGACCTGATGGGAGGACATGTACTGAGCAGGGGGTAGAAAGGGTTTTGCTGATATGATGGGACAGGCTCACATAAGAGCCTGGCTGCCCAGTGACATGGGTCACTGTCTGTTTCCTCTACCTCCTGCCCTGGTCACCATGAGAAAACAGGGAGCTGCCACCAGCCCAGCCTGTTTAGCAAATACTTGGCCCTGTAGGGCGGGCCCAGCCAGCTCAGGTCCACATCACACTGGAGCTGGAGCCCAGGTGGAAGAAAACAAAGGTGCAGGGGAGGGAAAGGCTATTTTGAAACAGGTTCTGGCTGGTGTTGGGAGACCTGAAGGCTGGAATTTCTGGGGGAAAGGACGTGACTTCTGTCTCGTCAAGTTTCACCATTGATGGCAGGACTACCTCACAGTGGGTCCTGGAGATGGGGGACCCTCTGTGGCCAAAGGTCTTCCTGGGGTCAGTATTATACAGAGCAGCAGCAGCAGTGAAGTAGGAGAGGTCAGAAGTCTTCCCTTCACAGAATTGGAGGCGATAAGAGATGAGTTCAAATCCTAGCTCTGGTGCTTACTGTGTGGTCATAAGGAGGCTTATAACCCTCTCTAGCAGTGGGCCTCAGTTTCCTTGTCTATAAAAGTGGGAAGATAATATCTGCCTAATAAAGTTGTTGCAAATGTCAATGCGGTCTTAGTTTTGTTAAGTGTGGAGACACTGTGAGCTTTTAATGGGGCTTCAGTACATGTTCATTTTCTTCCTTCCCCATTGTCTATCACTTAGGATCATCTCCTCTCTGGTTGCTGCATTTTAAGACAGACCAACTGTCAGCAGCTCCTGTGCCCACTGGGTATGCAAGACTGCCCTCTCCATTGTGGGAGAGGCCAAAAACTGAACACATAGTTCTTGTCCACAGCGACACAGAGGGCTCCCCAGCTGGTCAAGAGACTGAGGGACCCGGACACTGGAAGGAGTTGACCTGGGTACAGTGAGCCCCTCCTCTCACTAATCCTGCCGAATTTCATGTAGGAGGGGATTTCTGGCTGAAGGATGGGTGAGGTTTGTCTGGGAGAGAGGAGCTTGGGCAGGGCATTAGAGATGGGAGAGAAGGTGAACGCAAAGGTTTAGCATGGGCAGAACTGTGTGGCAGTCTGGTTGAAGAAGAGGCTCACATATAAGGCAGGACCTTGGATTCAAGGCTGGAAGTCTGAGTGCATAGAGTGTGGACCATTTCCTTATATTAATCTTATGAAAGAGTGAGATGTCAGAGGGGAGGGCAGGACTTCAGAAAGCAATCTCTTGCCCCTTTTTGAAAAGAAATGTTCCTCTTCCCAGCTGTCTCCCTTACTCACATTGCACAGATGTAAGAATTGCCCAGTATTGTGGTTCCTTGTGAGCATGTCCTGCAGGTGGCTTACCATGAAGTGTATGAGTACCATAAAGTATAATTACTGTAAAATGTCATTTCCCTTATAATTTGTTACTGAGTTTTAATTCCATGCCACCTTTGACCGCCAATGGAAAGTATCCTTTCTGTTTAAGTTTATTGAATCCCAAGAAGGTAGTTGGTCGTTGGTCTGTAAGGACCTGCCCACTAACACTTGGTCTTCTGCCTTTGCGGAGATGCTGGAGATCCTTCAGGGGCTCCAAGACTGGAAAAGGCAGAAGCTGCCTGTGAGAAGTGACAGAGAGATACAACAGAGGTGCTGCCTTCTCCTGAAGCCTTAATTGCCTGTTTCCAAGGAGTTGTGGTGGTTTCCCTTGAGTAGGGCACACGCCTCCAACAACTGACTTAATAACGATGTATTTAAATAAGTGGACAAAAATGTGCCCCGGCTAGATTTTAATGTGATTTGCTCATGAGCTCTCAAAACAACCAGAGGACAACATTCTGTATTCAGCTCCACAGATGTCTACTGAGTGTCTCAGTGTGTTAAGCATTGTGCCAGTTACTATGGAACATCCAGAGATGAACACAGTAGGGGCCTGCCCTCCAGGCTGTAGAGATGGGCTTGGGGTAGGGAGGAGAACCGTTGAGAGCAAAGTCCATTGTTGCCGAAGATGAATTTGATTCAGGTCCTTGAAGACCTTGATTTTGGACACTATTCATAAACAGTAGTCGTGGGAGAGATTTGAAAAGGAGTAACATGTTCGGATAAGAATTGTACCTTTGAAAGCTAGCCATAGTGGCAGTAAGGAAGATGGTCACAGAATGAAAAGATTGATCGTATTAAAGTGTCTGAACATATGAAGGGGGAGCAGGTGGAAACTAGTCCAGGATCAGCCCCTAGACTTGACAAGGCAGCAGATGGGAAAGGAGAAGGCTCTTAGAGAGGTTGTTGAGTTGTTGGAGAGGTATCATCAAGGTCAAATTCAGCGAATTTGTCCATTGACTGTCTGATTGGGGTGTGGGAGTGGGAGTTGTTGGTCTGGGTGACAAAGAGGTTGACAGATCACTGGTTGAGATAGGGAACATAGGTGGAGAAACAGGTTGAGGGATGAGTGACTCAGTGTTGGAGTGTGTTGGAGACAGAAGTAAGTCTAGGCAAGCGAGTACCAGAGACAGCAATCAGACTTCAAAACATTTAGACAAAATAAATGTCATTGGCCAGGCAGGGGGAAAAAATGTATATTTTTTCCTTGCATACACTTCATCATCTGTTCATTCAGAAGCATAGATTGACCTCTTTGTCACGGGCCTTTCAAGTATTTTTTAAACAGCATCATGATCAGCTGAATGGCTAGAGGAGAGAGAGGTTGGGAAAGAGGGAGGAGTCTTGGTAAGAGATACCAAGGGCAGCCGGCACAGGAGACAGGTCAGGGGCAAAGGTAGGGGGAAAAGAGCTGAGCAAACTGGTGAAAGGAAATGAGAAGAGTGTTTGGAAAATGTGGCACAAAAATGGCAAATGTTGGCCACGGAAGGGAAAAAACCAACAACCAGATGATAATTATATTAGGTGCTGCAGAGAGATCAGGAAGGATCTGGAAGAGGTCATTGGACTAGCCAAAAAGAAGGTCACCCCTGAGCTTTCCTAGAGCAGTTTCAACAGGGTAGTAGGAGCCAGAGCCAGCTTGGGCAAGGAGAAAGGAAATCGGACTGAGAGCAGAGTACTGTTTTTTAAAATTTGGGCAGTACAGAGACAGGAAATAGAGGAACTAGAGTAGAGGTCCTCTCTATTATCATCGTCTGTCCTATGCTCATTCTCTCTCATTTTTTTTAAATTTAATTTTTTTATTGTGGTTTTAACGAAAGTTTACAGAAAAGTTGGATTATTCATTCATTCATTCATTCATTTATTGTTGCACATTTCCCTTCCTACCCCACCCCTAGTTCCCTAGTTCATTATATATATATATATATAATCTCTCTCATTTTTAAATTAGTTAGGTTTGAATCTGTTTGTAGGCCTAAAGAAGGAGCTAGTAGAAAAGAAGGAAGGTGGAAAATTAATTGACAGCAAAAATCACCTAAGAGAGTCTAGTTTGGAAACTAAAGCTCAGAAGCTGAGATTGTTCTGGAAAACAAGAGAGAGGCTTCTGGAGACAGAAGCAAAGAGTGACCAGCACAGAGAGAATGGAGGTGGAAGTGGGAGGCCTCCCCTTTAGCTGTGCGTCTTGTGGGAGTGTCTCTTGGAGTCCCTGTATCCCGCAGGGTCACTAGTGCTGAGGCTCCTTGTCCCTCTCCAAGCTTGCCCACAGCTGGGACCTTGACAGGGTTTACCTAAACCTGTCAAAGGAAGCTGCCTTATGATAGAGGTAAGGCCAGCCCCTTTTTAATACAAACTGGTGTTAAAAGAAATTGTCACAGCCTGCTGGTTGATGGAGAAGAAAGAATGAACATTTTCCCTTTCTCCTTTCTTCCTCTCTTTAGTGTGATTTGAGTGAAAGTTTACAAAGCACTTGGTTTGTCATGCAGTTGTTCGTACACAGAGTGGTGACACTAATTACAATCCACTCAGAACTACACTCCTGCTTTCTTCCTGTGATTTTTTTTTACTTCCTTTAATCCTGTCCTATATTTGGCTGCCTTCTGAGCTTTATCCCTGGGCACATGCTACCCTTTTGAGTTTATGTGGTTGATTGTTCTCAGGAGTGACTGCTCTCCCCCCCATTGTTCATTTTATAGACTTCTCTGGTGTTTGACTGAGTTCTGTTCACCTTCGAAGACTGACTAAAGGTTTAGTCTTTGAAGGGTTTATCGGTCTCTGTCACACCAGTAAGCCTGGTCAGTTTTATGTTTTTGAGTTTTGTTCCACATTTTCCATCCGGGGCCTTCTACTCTGCTTCCTTTTAAAGCACCATCTTCTGGTATTCAGGTTGAGAAGGTTGAGGTTCAAGTGGTTCATTAGCTCCTCTTCGGTTACTTGTCTGACATGTCTTTGTTTTTCTTCACTCTTTGTTCCAGACAGGGAGAGGCCAATCGTGGTACTTTAAATAGATGGCTACTCCCAAGCTTGTAAGACCTCAGTCGCTATTCACCAAAGTAGGACACAGAACACCGTTTCTGTGGACCACTTTGTGCTACTTGACTTTGATAGCCATGGAGACTGTGGAACTGAAGCTCTAGGACCAGCATTTCTCAGGGTGATAGATTATGATTAATAAGCTTATGTAACTTCTGCCTCCTGTTGGCTCTGCTGTATACTTGGATGTGTTAACAGCATATACTAATATGAATGAAAGTAGAAATACCACCTGTCAAACCTAAGTATTGTGTTCCTTTTCAATAACATTTCTTCCAGATGAAAATAACAGCTGTAGCTGTTGGAAAGCCACACAGGTTAAGGCTGCATGATGTCAATAGTTGGGTTTTTAAAATGTTTTTTTAATGTGTGCACGATCACAGAAACAAGTTGAATTTCCTCTTTGCTATTTATAAGTAAGTACATCATCACTCAGAATGACTGTATCGGCAAAGATTGCACTGTGGTTTATGAAACAAATAAAATCCCAAATAGTTGAATTTCCTGTTTTTGTTTCTGAGAGACAATGTCAGTCTCAGTGCTTCAGCACCTTGATCTCAAGTCACAATCCAAGAAGCCCTTTATCCTTTTTGTATGTTTCAGGACATTATTATATTAATGCAAGATTTATTCAGTTAGTATAAAGAACACAATTGTAAGTACGTGTGGCAAGTATAAATAGATGCTTTTCATGCAGAATACAAGTTTATATTTGTGTTTATAAGGAAAGTAAAAACAAAGTGAGCAGAATAGAGGTCCAGGTGTGCTCAGAGGAAGCAGTTAAAGGCTACAAGTGGGGAAAGATGTGTGACTTGGTGGGGGCTTTGTTCCTTCTCTGGGAGACATGGGCAGGGTTAGCCCTCCAGTTCTGGATTCTGCCCCAGATGGCTCCCAGCAAACTGACTCCTAGCTGATGAACACACACTAGTGTTTAAAAGATAGGGCAAAGGTAATATCTTACCTTTAATGAATAATACTACAGTCAATGTTTATTGATTACTTACTGTATGTCCACTCTGCTGGCCCTTTGAGTATATTGTTATTAAATCCTCACAGCACTTTTTCAGGGTAGATAAATTCATCATGTTTAAAATGAGGCATCTAAGGCTCAGAGAAGTTTATGGATCATCCAAGGTCACACAGCAAGAGTATAACAGAACCAGGCTTGGCTCCCAGATCTGCCACACCCCATGATTATGACGGCTGCACTCATAAACCATCAGCTTGGATTAAAATCGCACTGTAGCAAAATGGGTGACCCTGGAGGACATTATGCTGAGTGAAACATCTCAGTCACAAAAGGACAAATACTATATGGTGCCACTGTTGTAGAATGAGGCTGACATCAGGGTGCGGGTAAGACTGAGGAAAAACTGGATAAATTATGTTTACTGCATTGAAGTCGATAAGGGAGAGAATAGTTTAAAAGTAATGTATTTTAGGGCATTATGATTATCATAAGAGTCCGGAATGAGGGTTGCAGAGTGGAGTATACTCGGGGTGGGGGTGGAGGTGGGGGGTGCAGGGGGATTGTATACCATTGAAGGAGTTTTTCTTTTGCTTTTCAAGAAGAGTGAACTGGGGGCGGGAGTGTGGGGTGGGTGGGGAGAAAAGTGCAACAATGAATGAATGGAAATCCAAAATCTCTGTAGAGGCTCATTGAAATTAATAAATTAAAAAAAAGAATAAAAAAAATTACACTGTAGCTGGAGGTTGGAGGCGCCACAGTACTAAAAATTACCCCAAGATTGGATGCCCCAGGAAAAGACCCATCCCAGCCTGCAGCTCTTTCTCAGGCAGTAGTGGCTGTCTTCATTTCTAATGAGACTGTTCGACTCTGTCCCCCTCCTGAACCCAGGGGAGCACAGACAGAAGCATTAGTGCTCTTGTCGTTTAGCAAGACATAAGATTGTAAAATTGTAAGAGATTTTCATCTTTTCTCTGTCCTCCTGTCCCAAGAGGGTGAGGGACTGGAACAAGAGTCCTTTAAGTGGGAAAAGACGATGAAGTGATGAATTCAGTTGGCCTGTTGGAAATATGACTTCTTTCTTCAGGGGCTCAGGCCCACCCTGAGAACCTCTGCTGGAGACTCTTCCCTCAGTTAAGTGTCTGCTGTGCTAGGCCTCAGAATGCAAATTCTCTTTAAGTATAAACATCAGCCTCAAAGCCCTTTTTTTCCAAGATAAGGAACAAGGACAAATTTTCACACACAGTATCTGCCATGTTTCCCAGAGATGTAGGAGGTGACTTTGCTTTATTTGCTGTGCAAGGAAAAATAGCAGTTGTCCTTCAAAATTCATTATATGATAAATATTGGTCAGAAATTATGTGCTGATGCCCTTAAGGAGCCGTGGTGGCACTGTGGCTAAGCTAATTGAAAGGTTGATGGTTCAAGCCCACCAGTTGCTCTGTAGAAGAAAAGATGTGGCTGGCTGTTTCTATAAAGATTTACAACCTTGGGAACCCTGTGAGGAATTCTTAATACTTTACAGAAAGAGCCTACCTTTGGTGGAATGTATGCACTGCTGGCTATAGCACACCCTGAATGCGTCAGAGATGAGAGGGTTGAGGTTGCATGTGAGCAAAATAGGAGAGGGAGTCCATGTCCTACTCCAGGAGCAAAAGCATTTTGGTTTTTTATGTTATAGGTAAGAAACCAGCTCAGAAAGTTAATTTGTCCAAGGGGCTCCACCTCACAAGTCATCAAATTTTAAATTCATCCGTCTGATACCAGTGTGTGCTCTTAACTGACTCTCACCTGTGTTCTCACCCTGCAGTTCTTTAAGGCCTTTTCCAAGGATGACGTGGGAACACCTCTGTCAGGTAGGTGCTCCGGCTTTGCTTGTCCTGTGAGCATAGTCTTCCTCTCCCTGCTTTCCGCCTCACCTTGGTTCCTTTTGGGGTGGACGGGACTTGCAATCGGCAAGGTCTGTAAAGGTGAGAGGTTCTTCATGTGAAAATCTGACTTCAGTTTTCCTGAAAGAAAACCATCTTCGTACTCAGTCTAAAAGAGTTCTAGGAAAAGCGAGGCTGAAAAGGCTTCTTTTTTTGGCTCACGATCCTGGAATGAGAGTGAGGTGCCCCGTTTCCAGAGTGGCCTTTTGTGTCAGTGTGGTGTTGACATACAAAGGGATGCACCATGTTTTTTGGTGTTTGTGTCCCTTTTTCTCACACAGACACAACTATAACCCTTGTGGCACTTTCTCATCCAGATCTCAAAAGCAACAAATCAGGTACACCTCTTTCAAAGTGATCCCTCACTTTTCTTCACACATCTTTGCTTCCTTCTAAGTCTGCCAACAATGAAAGATGTGTGAGGGAAAGTGTGAGTCGTTGTATAGGACCAGACAGCACCTAATAGGTTTTGGTTCTGAGGGGCTTTTTTCTCACCCTGGCAAGTGTGGGTCACCTAGCACTGCTTAGGACCACAGAAGGAGCCCCTTACCTTTATTCCTCAAACCCAGAGGACTGTTACCAGATAGTTTTTCTGTCACAAGTAGCTCATGCTCTGGACCGTTAGGTTCTGTAAACAGGTGACAGGTCACTGGAACAAAGCCTGCTTTTCTCCCAAAGCCATCCCCGTCTGTTTCTGTTTACAGTGGCTGGGGCAGATGTGCAGGTCCTACGGGAGAGGCTTATTGATGCGCTGGAGACACATCGTGACACTTGGCCCCCAGCTTGTCCCCCACTGGAACCTGCTAGGTAATTTGGGGCTGCGGCAGATGTGGTGCATTGTCACAAGCCTGCGAGTGAGGAGGAGGTGAAGTAGGAATGGCAGGGTGGGGGCCAAGGGTGATCCTTCCTGCCTCCCTTACCACTGAGGCAGATCCCTTTAGTCTGCCAGAACACAGAGCCACGCTGGGGCTGGTGAAGGGCCTCCTGTTACTCCAGGTCCTAGCCGAAGATCCCATCTTCCTAAATACAGGGTTGCCTGACAGACCCAGGGGTCCACTCTGGGAGGGAAAGCTGGGTAGGGTTCTCCACATGGTATCATTTGCTCCTTCTCACCACAACTTGTCCTTAGGAACATTTCGGGGATGCAGCAGGATTTTGCATGATCTAAATCTAGGGAGGGCTGCTGAGAGGCAGAGTGGAAGGAAAAGGGAAGTTAGATACTTCAGAGAAAAAAAAATGGGGGGTGGTGGTTATGGTAGGGAGAGGAAAAACTCAGAAGAATAATCCTCTTTCTCTAAAATGAAGATTGGCATTTGTCTGAGCAGATTTGGGGCTGGAAGGTGAGGAGGGGCCTGAGACTGCTGAGGCTGTGGGATGTCAGGTTCAGTGGCTGGAGGCCTCTACAAGACTTCCAGAAAGGTTTCCTCCTTTCTGTAATGAATTGTGAGGTGCATGTGCTTGTCCTGACTCTCAGAGAGATAGAGATAAACTCAAAGCTTACTGTCATTGAGTCAGGAGTTGATTCTGACTCACAGTGACAATGTCCCTCCATCAGGTTTCTGAAACTGTAGATTTTAATGGGAGGAGTCTTAATAGGAGCTGCTGGTGAATTAAAACTGGAGATGTGCAGCCATTCAGTTAGTGCAGTTTACTACAGACTAAAGAGGAAGACCTGCTCTGTCCTGTGTCACTCTCACTGTCTCCAACACACACACCCTGATTACCCCAGTCACTGAATCAATCCACCTCATAGAGGGCCTTCCCCTCCTGCGCCGTCCCTCCACCCTCCCAAGCATGACATCCCTCTCCAAGTACTGGTCCCTCCTTGCAACATGTCCAGAGTATGTCAGATGAAGCCTCAGAATCCTTGATTCCAAGGAGCAGCCCAGTTTAACCCTCTCCAGGATTAACCTGTTCATTTTCTTAGCAGTCCATTGTACATTCAGTACTCTTCTCCAGCACCACAGCTCAAAGGCATCAATTCTCCTTCTATCCTCCCTAGTCATTGTCCAGCTCTCTGATGCATAGCAAGTGATTGCAAAGACTATGGCCTATAACAGGCACACCTTAGTCTCCAGAGTGACGTCATTGCTCTTGAGTACTTTGGAGAGGTCCCTAACGGCAGACTTTCCCATCACAATATGTCTTAATTTCCTGGTTGCTGGTGCCAAGAGTGTTGACTGTGGAGCCAAGCAAACTAAAGCTGTGAACAATCTCAATCTCTTCACCATCCATGCTGCCAATTGGCCCAGTGGTGAGAATCTTTGTCTTATTGATATTGAGCCTTAATCCATATTGAAGGCTGCAGTCCTTGACCCACTGCAGCAAGTGCTTCAGGTCCTCCTCAGTTTCAGCAATCAGGGTTGTGTCATCTGCATAACTCAGATTGTTGAAGGATCTTCCACCAATCCTGATGAAATGAAGCTGGAGATAGAATGATTGAATTTTGCACAATCAATGACTTATTCATTGTAAATACGTTTTATAAGAAACATAAACACAGGTTATACACATGGATTTCACCAGATGGTATATAGGAATCAGATTGATTACATCTGTGGAAAGAACTATTGGAGATATTATCAGCTGTGAAAACTAGGCCAGGTGCTGATTGTGGAATATACCACCAACTACTCATATGCAAGTTCAAGCAGAAGCTAAGGAAAATTAAATCTATGGGAACCAAAATATGACCTTGTGTCTATCCCACCTGAATTTCTGAACTATCTCAGGAACAGGTTTGAGGCCTTGAACACCAGTGAGCAAAGACCAGATGAGTTGTGAGAGGATATCAAGAGCATCATTCAAAAAGAGTTCAAAAGGTCATTACAAAGACAGAGGAGGAAGAAAAGACCAAAATAGATGTCAGAAGAGCCTGAATATTACTGGAGCGCAGAGAAGCAAACTCTACATGTTTTAAAATTAAAGAAAGTGTGGGTCAGGGCTGTATCCTTTCTCAATACCTATTCAATCTATATGCTGAGAAATGTCTGAAGAAGCATGTGGTGTTAGAATTGGAGAAACTCATCAATAACATGCATTATGCAGATAACATGACCTTGCTTACTGAAAGTGAGGAGGACTTGAAGCACTTGCTGCAGAAGAGCAAAGAATACATTCTTCAATATGGCTTGTATCTCAGTATGAAGGAAAAAAAATTCTCATCACTGGACCAATAGGCAGAATCATGATAGATGGAGAAAAGATTAAAGTGGTCAACAGCTTCATCTTTCTTGAGTCCTCAGTACCTGCAGTAGGGAGATCAGGAGACACACTGCACTGGGGAAGGCTGCAGTCAGGGACCTCTCCAAATTACTGAGGAACAGTGATGTCAGTTTGAAGACTAAGTCCCATAAACTGCCATAGGAACAAGCAAATAATGTCTTGGAAAGGATGCAACCACCAGAATGCTCTTTGGAAGCAAGGATGATAAGGCTTCACTTCACATACTTTGGGCATGTTGCTAAGAGGGGCAATTTTTTGGAGAAGGACATGATGCTTGGAGGAGTCGACAAAGGAGAGGAAGACACTTGACAAGGTGGATTGACACAGGCTTAATGTGTCAGGAAGTGTGAGATGGCACAGGATAGGACAGGATTCAGATCTCTTATTCATAGAGTCGCTATGAGTTGACTCAGTGGCACCAACAACTGAGGTCATGGTCTTTTCATTCACTTGCTGTGCATCTGAGAACTGTACAATGAATAAGGATGACAGAAGAAGAATTGGTGCCTTTGAGCTGTGGTGTTGGAGAAGAGTACCAAATATCCCATGGAAGGCCAAAAGAACAAACACATTATGTCCTGGGAAAAGTGCAGCCAGGATGTTCCTTGGGGGCAAGGATAGGGAAGCTTTGTCTTACATATTTTTTCTAGGAGAGGCTGTCCTTGGGGAGAGCCATCGTGCTTGGAAAGGTGGAGGTTTGGCGAAAGAAAGACCTTCAGCTAGATGGATTGACACACAGATGGCAGAAATAGGCTTGAGTGTGTCAGGAATTGTGAGAATACGGAATTCTGGTGGCCTAGTGGCAAGAAGCTGCACTGCAATCTCAGAGGCATGTGGTTCGAATCCACCAGATGCTCTGTTGGAAAGGGAGGGACAATGTCCTCCTGTACCTGTCAGATCAAATTTGACGGTACACACACACACACACACACACACACACACACACACATAATAATAAGATGTTCCACATTATGTGTATCACTAGTCCATTTCTTTTTCTTGCTAAGTAGTATTTCATGGTATTGATGAACCCCTTGAAGATGTCTTGATTATTTCTAACTTTTAGCTGTTGTGAATAAAGCTTCTATGAACATATGTGTGTGTGTGTGTGTGTATAAATTTGTAGAAATTGTGAGAATTTCACAAGATTCAGACCTTTGTTTTGTAGAGTGTTGTACTAGACTCAGTAGTGTTTAACAACAACCTAAAAACATATCCTTTATTCCTGGATGAAAATTCAAATTAAGACAATTCCTACCTCAGGAGACTCTTGCAAAGCAGGGCCACATCCTCCTTTGTACAGGTAGGAACTGCTCGAGGCATCCAGCCTCAGAACGCAGTGCATGTCCCAGGTGCCATGAAGCCACATGAGGCTTGAAGGCTCAAGTGTGTGTACTGGTTATTCTGCAGAGTCATAGCCCTGCTGAAAGCTTGTGTCTAAGTGTCAGTTGGGGTTGAATCCAACCTAGGAGACTCTTTTATGATTTTCCTCAGTTCTCCATCCTCCCAGCTGACCTCACAGAGACCCTGGACCCTCTACATGGTCTTGATGTGGTTTAGAGTTTCATTTCTCTGAGCATCTAGGATAGCATGTAGTCTGATCCTTCTTCCTTCTCTCAATGATTGTGTCTCTTTTTATAACTCTATTTTTTAACACATATGTATTACATTTATATTCTTTGTAGCACATTCTTATCCCTGAAAGATCTTAGAAACAACCCATCAGATAAGCTTGCCAACCTCTCTCAAATGATTCCTCACCTTTCATCACACATCTCTACCTCCTTCCCTGAGAAGGGGGTGGAGATAGATATGTGAAGAAAAAAGTGAGCTGCCCCTTCTGTAAGTCGGGGATGGGGACGGACAGACCATTGTACAGAGCTTGCTTTTCTGCCAGCCTAGGAAAGGCCTTATGAAGCGGTCTGAGAGGCCACCTGATGTCACATCAGAGGCTGTCATTAGCCACCATACATAATCCCATCCACCCCTGGGGTGAGCGCTGACCCTCCCCTCCCTAATGTTTCCACCTGTCCCATCACCGTGCTGGGCTGGACTCCAGCATTGCCCCAGGTTTGTAGTCACTGCTTCATCAGTGGACCCAGTAGAAGAAATAGGTCTCCAGAATGGGCGTCTTGACCTCTGGAGATGATAAAAAAGAAGATGCAGCCTCCCTTTTCCATCTGACTACTGCTGGCCTCTTAAACTGTGTTCTGCTTTTAAGTGGAGTAAGGAGACAAGTCATTTCTGTATGATACAAGTCCCTTACATTGAGACTCTGATTTTTAAAATACTGTTTCTAGTTTGAGAAGTCTTGGCTGAAAATAGTCTATCTGTGTTTCACTGACTGTGCAAAGGCATTTGATTGTGTGGATCACAACAAATTGTGGGTAACCTTGAGAAAAATGTGAATCTCAGAACACTTAATTGGGCTCATGTGAAACTTATACTCGGACCGGAAAGGAGTAGTTAGAACAGAGCAGGGAAACACTGCATGGTTCAGGATCAAGAAATGTATGCATCAAGGATGCATCTTACCACCATACCTTTTCAATCTATGCAGAACAGATCATCCGTGAGGCTGGACTCTATCAGAGGAATGTGGCATCAGGATTGGAGGAAGACTCATCAACAACCTACGTTAGGCATATGACACAACCTTACTTGCTAAAACTGAAGAGGACATGAGGCATTTGCTGCAGAAGGTCAGGGACTGTAGTCTTCAATATGGATTGACGTTCGGCTCAAAAAAACAAAAGATTCTCATCACTGGGCCTGTCAGCAGCTTCATGATGGATTGCGAAGAAAGTGAGGTTGTTGATAACTTCCACTTGCTTGGTTTCACAGTCAACACTTTTGGTACCAGCAGTTAAGAAATCCAAAGACAAGTTGTACTGGGAGTCTTCTGTCAGAGACATCTCTAGAGTACTGAAAAGCAGCAGTGTCAGTCTGGAGACTAAGGTGTGCCTGATCCCAGCCATGGTATTTGCAATTACTTGCTATGCATCCGAGAGCTAGGCAATAACTAAGAATTATAGAAGGATCAATGCCTTTGAGTTGTGGTGCTAGAGAATAGTGTTGAACATACTGTGGACTGTAAGGAGAACAAGTCTGGCCTGGAGAATGTAAAACCAGGCTGCTCTCGAGAGGCAAGGATTTTGAGGCTCCACCTTACATACTTTGGGCATATGGCCAGGAGGGACCCGTCAGTCCTTGAAGAAGGATATTATGTTTGGAAGGGTGGAGGGACAGCACAGGAGAGGAAGACCCAGGATGGATAGACTCAGTGACTGGAGCAATGGGATTAGGCCTGTCGGAGATGATGAGATTGGTTTAGGATAGAGTAGGTTTTAAAGCTAGTGTACATAGGGTCACTATGAGTTGCCGGCTTCTTGATGGCACATAACAACAATTTCTAGTTTATTTTGGGAGCAGCATCATCATCAAATTTGCCTTAGTATTCTCTGTTTCTACCTTTATTCTGGGCTTTAGAGTCTTTATCTTAAAATGGGATTAGATAGCTTCTGAGGGCTTCAGGACTCAGGACTTCTGATTCTTGCCTTCCTCTTTCCCTGTCTGTCCCAGAGGAGAAGAAAGCAGATCTCCCATTTGGTGGTTACCTCCCAGGTATCAAAACTTATATCTGGTGAATCTAATCTTCAGTCTCTCAGGAGACTGATACCAGCCATATTCAGTAAGCCTGGGGCTTTGAGATAACTAATCTCAAAGCATTCCTTTCCCCAGCCTTCCTCCTCACATTGCCTCTTACTCACTCCTGACTCCTGAAAGAGACAGGGTGAAGAAGGGGGAAAAACGGCAGGGTGGGTCAGTTGAAGAAGCAAGGCTAGGTAACAAAGACAACATCCTTTGAGACTGTGGGTTTGGCTTCCTCCCACTGGAGGCCTGCCAGTGGGAGACTTCACAAAGCTTTGTGTGGAAACAAAGAAACCTGCATGACTGTATTCACAGAACCGTGTCACCTGTGCCTGGCATAGTCAGCACTTAGGCCTTATTCCCATTGGGGGTGGAGAGTGAGCGCCCGAGGTGTCTCTTGCAGGCTGGAAGAGATCAATGGATTCTTTGCAAGAAACAACGAAGAGTACCTGGCCCTGATCTTTGAAAAGGAAGGCTCCTATCTTGGTAGAGAGGTAAGCTACTCTTCTTTGCAACTCCGGGTAGCCTTTGGGGGAAACCCTACTTCAGGAGCAAGGTTTTTCCTGCCAATCTGAGGGGCTTGCCAATGTCCATTTCTTAGTCTTGTGCTGTTCTGACCCCTGCTGGGAGAGATGGGAAGTGGAGGAGCTGGAACCTTCCTGAAACCTATATTATGCCTGCCTGCTTTGATTCATCTCATCAAGACCGAGTATGACCACACTAGGTGTTTACTGAGCATTGAGTTAGACCACTGACGTACATAGTGGTTAATCCTCACAATTAACAAGGAGGATCAAGCAGTGCCTCCAGGATTACACAGCTGTTAAATTGGGCTTTGAACCAAGTCATGATGTTTCCACACACGTTTTCCCCGCCTCCCGTCAAATGAGTGAAAAAGAAAACTGAGATGGGGACGTTAGAGATCGTTCAGTCCCTCACAGGAGGAAATGGGGTCCCGTGGAGGTGACAAGTAGCACGACCAGGCAGGTTTGAGTTTCTCCTCCATTGGATATGTGGTATGTCTTTGGGTAAGATCCTCTACTGTTCGGAACCTCATTTTTCTGTCTCTAGTTGCTGCTGTTGTGTACTTTTGGGTCTGAACCAACCCATAGCTGACCCTCCAGTGGGTTTTTGGAGGCTGTAAATCACATAGGCAAAGCTTGTCCATCTTTCTCCCACGGTGAATTTGAACTACATACCTTTGAGTTGGCGGTGCAACATCTTACCACTAGACCATCAGAACTCTCCCTTTTCTCTATAGAGTAATGATAATTACTTTGCTTTATATTATATTTTGAGAAGCCAAATGAGGCAATTTAAATAAAAGACCTGGATTAGTAATGTACAGTGCCTTCAGCTGAGTCTGTCTTACAGCTTCCCTTCATCAGGCTTCCAAGGCTGAGACTCTTCACAGGAGGAGATCGCCTGTCTTTCTCTCTCATACTGACTGGTAGAGCTGAGTGCTGGTGTGGTTGTCTATAGAGAATTGTGCTCCTAACCAGAGGCTGCACATCTCTGATAGTTTAATTCATCTCTGGCTCTGAGGGGAAAAAAAGATGAGACATTTCCTCCATTGGGTCATTTCCTCCATTGAATTCTGTAGCCTCAAAAACTCAGTGGAGGGTCAGAAACGACTCGATGGCAGTGAGTTTGAGTGAGGCAAGTAGCTTAGGACAGAGTGGAACTGCCCCACAGAGTTTCCAAGGCTGTGATCACAATGGGAGCAGACTGCTCTGTCTTTTTTCTGTGGAGCACCTAGTGGATTCTAGCCCCCAGCATTTCCAGAAGTAGCCAACTGCTTAACCACTGAGACGCACTTACCTGCACGTAGTAGATGCTCTGTTGAGATCCACTCGCCTAATGCACAGAGCTCTCCCTCGTACCCTGGTTCACAGACTTCTCCACAGTCCACTTAGGACTTTTTCCCAGATGCAGAGGTAGATGGGCCAGTGGGAGATGTTCCAAGACAGTGCAGGGGAAAAGAAGATGCTTGAGGGTGAAGATGAAATGGACACCACTTGTTTGCTCTGAGTGGTTTTCCTGCTGAAATTCATCAAGCACAGTTGAGAGCACTGAAGTGAAAGCAGAGCTTGGCAGCTCGAACCAGGTCTCTGAGCCCCAAGAGGGGAAGCATGGAGAGGAAGAGGGGAGCTTTGCTGAAGGAGTGCTTGACCTTTCTGGGGACTGAGACTAATACCAAACCCTTGCCACTTGTCATGGAAGAGGTGCTAAGTAGTTGCTGGCTGGAGTCAACTTTTCTCCTCTCCTTTCTCACACTGTCCCTTGAGTAGCCAAGGTCAGGTCTCCAAGCCCATGCCCAAGCAAAGTCCTCAGGAGCGGGTCATTGGCGAGGCAGGAGCAGTGGCTCAGGCATGGTCTTCAGGGCCAGACTGAGTGGGGATAGAGAGCCCAGTTCAGACCCTTGATAGCTGTGTGGCACACACTCTTATAACATCAGTTTCTTCACCTCAAAACTGGTAATGTTTTCAACGAAAGCTTGCCTAACTACTCTGTGTTAGTCCTTGTTACAAGGACTTTTCTAAAATTAGGCCATTTGGGCCTTGTAATAGAAAAATGAGGTTGAATCCTATCTTCATTTTGCAAGTAAGAAAATTGAGGCCAGCAGAGGTTTAATCCAGGTGGAGCCAAGATTCAAGACCCACCGGGCTCCAGAGCATAATATACTGTGTTTTCTCTGCTTGTCTCCTAATAATAGTTCTTATCTCATGGAAAATTAGTTCAGAGATTAAATGAGGTATTTTATAAATGGCATATGATAGATTCTCAACAAATACTCACTTTTCTCCTTTTTAATTATTTTAAAATGAAAATCACATCTGACTGAAAATATTTTCCTGGCTATGAATGTACATAGAAGATCTGAATGAAAACTTTATGATTTAAAGTGAAGCCCCGTTCAACTATGCCTTTAAATAGCTTTTCTTGAACAGGGTAAATTTGAACTGTCTAGAGAATTCAAGGTCTTCACAGTTCTCAGACCCCTCCTTTAGGGTGATGGTTGGCAGTTGTTTCTGGGGGTTAATTGGGTTTGGTGGCACGCAAATTCTTCACTCCTCATGGGGGTCTACTCTGAAAGGCTTTGAGTCAAGGTGGAGCACAGCTCCCACCTTGGTCCTTGGCCTGTGCGTTTAGTCAGGACTTGAACCCCCTGACTCCCTCTGCCCAGTGGCTTGGTCCCTTCCCCACAGATGTCCTACTTTCTTTGCAGGTGATTCTAGACCTGTCCCAGCTCCACGGCTTAGCGGTGCGCAGGGTCCTGAACACGGAGGAGGATGTGGTGAGCAAGTTTGGCGTCACTGACTTCCCATCTTGCTACCTGCTGTTTCGGAATGGCTCTGTCACCCGCGTCCCTGTGTGAGTGCGATGTCCCCACCCCATGTGCACTCCCTTCCTGAGGTGGTTCTTTCTTCGGGCTCAGAGGGACAGCCAAGTTGGCATGGGGCTGACAGGTCCTATCTTCTGCATTGATTCTGTTGAGGCGTCCCCTGTGGGAGCAGCACAGGCCTGTGTGGTGGGAACAGTACCGCTGCAGCCCAGGAGTCCTGCCGCAGGCCCCTGGCACACGCTGTGCTGGTGCCCACCCCCACTGCCACTGCACCAGCCCCACCACAGCCTGCAGTGCTCACAGACGGACTTGCTGGCAGGCTGCTGGCCTGGCATGGACTCAGATATGCCTGACCCTCCTTCCCTCCCTTTGGTTTTCTAATTGCAGAAAAGTTCATTAGGAGCCAGACAATAGCCAGTTCCAGAATGCCAAGAGAAAACAATCAGGCCAGTCTCAGCTGCTCTGTCAGGCTCCCGCTGCTGAATGGCCTGCTAAATGGCGCCAGATGGTGCCTTGGTGCCCTCCCTGGGCAGACGATTGATGTCAACCTGGCCCTCTAGGCAGCGGCTTGTGGACCAGGGTGCCAAAGGCTTGCATGATGTGCCCAGTGAGCTGCCCCACCAGGCCATTAGTGCCATCCTACGCTGAGGCTGGGCCGGGTGGCCACTTGCCCTCAACCTGCCCCAGCCCCAGCCAAGCAGCATTGGCCGGCCTTGTCAGAGAGTTCTGCCAGAGACGGGAAGCTTGATGGCCACAGAGGGACAGAGGGCCAGTGCTGGTGAGGAGAGGAGGCATTGTTTCCTCTTTGGAGCTGGTGGAGGGGAAAATTATTTGTGACGATGCCACTTGTGAGCCATCTGCTCATCTTTAAACATTGGGCTGGGACAGCGGAGCGGAAAGCAGTGCTCTCTGATGCGGGCTCCCCTGGGTCTCCATCACTGCTGTGGGGTTCTGCACGCCTCCCTCCAGGTGGCCTAGACATTAGTGGGCTGTGGGGAGAGTCTGTCCACAGGAGATATGTCCTTCCCTTCAAGACACCCCTCTGTCAGTAGAGAGAAAGCAAGCAAGGTTTAGAGAATTGTGGTGACATTTGTTGTTGTTGCTACACTATTTTTAATCCGGTGTCTACATCCCTTGACTTCCTGGGGAGTTGGGTCACCTAGATGTGCCTTGGAGCTGGCTCGTGAGCGGGCGATCTCTGGAGGTCAGCGGCCATTTGGAAACTCCTGGTCTGTTGGGAGTCAGACTCAGCCCAGGGGCCGAGGGGTTGGCTCCTGCTTGCTGAGGGCAGAGACGGTAAAGTTAATCTACACGAGGTGCAACTATAGCTGCTATCAGAGAGTCTATGCACAGCATAGACAGTAGATTGAAAGGCTGAAATGAGGTGGGTTCCCGAGTTTGATCTCACTGAGGACAAGACAGACCATCAAGTTCAAATTTCTCCATAAACGTTTCTGTTTGAGGAACCCTCTGCTTCCTCTAATGAGGTTAGTAGATTGATGTTGTTCTCCTGCGCTCAGTCACTCTTCTCTGTGGTTCTCATCCCTCACAGGCTTGTGGAATCCAGGTCCTTCTACACAGCTTACCTGCGGAGGCTCTCAGGGATCACCAGAGAGGAGGCCCAGACCACAGTTGCCCCAACTACAGCGCACAAGATTGCCCCCACCGTTTGGAAGGTGGCAGATCAGTAAGGCTGAGACTTGCTCTCCTTACCCCTCCCTCCCTTCTCAGCCTTCTTCTGATCACTGACAATCCTGCCTTTACAATGCATGCACATGAACGAACACACACACACACACATATATATATATATATACATACATACATACACATACACACACTCTCTCTCTATCACTCAGTCCTGTTCCTTGTCGTGGGTTTATCACATGTCCTGAGCCTGAACTTCCTCCCCACCCCACCTCTGCTAAGGCGGGCCTTGGCCTTTGGTGCCTCTGATGTCAGCTGTGCACACAAGGCCTTCATTTGAGGGTGAGGAGGCGTGGTTGGCAGGCAGGGCTCTGTCGTCTCTGCCAGCAGGGCCAGTGCTGACTGCAAGGAGTGCCCATGCATTTAATTTTCTCCTCCATGATGGAATCAGTACTTGCTGGTACTCAACGTTGCTTAAGCTTTGCTCTCTTCAAGAATAAGCAGAATCCATTCAGAAGGATCCTCTGAGGCCTGCAGGTCAACTTCTCACTCAAGCATTTATTTCTTCGCCAAATACGTTTGAGTGCATGCTTTGTGCTAGGCACTGTGGGCACAGATACATACAGGACTGGTGCGTCCTGCTTACCCAAGTTTGCAGTCTCCTTCACGGCATCCCTTCTAGGAAGGTGTCCAGACTTGCTTGAATGCCTCTTCAGTCAGGGAGCTCACTACTTTCTGAGATAGTCTGTATCTTGTGAATAACTATAAATGCAAGAAAGTGGTGCTTTTGCACTTGTAGACTTTCTGCCTATTGACTGTCTGGAGACCTCTTGCTCTGACTCCCAGCTGCACACAAATGACCAGTCAAAGCACTTCTGAGGGACATCCACATGACATATAATCTCAAGAGGAATTTTACAACCTCATATGAAGGACTTTAAAGGTGGAAAGTGTTAACAGATCCTTAGTAAATCAAAGTAGAAGGAAAGAAAGACTGAGAGGTGGAGTAGTCATAATAATGGCTGGTCTTTATAGACCTCATGACCCAGGCTCTGTGCTGGGCAGCTTCCTTGTAGTATGTCTTTCAGTTGAGTGGCAATTTTTTTTAAGGCAAAACCCAAGACGGATGAGGGAAAGTGACACTCAAGGACGCCAGAATGAAGGACAGGGAAGAACTTTACCACAAGGGTAATGCACAGGAAGTCAGTCAGTGTGTTCATCCTATTAGTTAGCTCTCCACAATCATAGGAGGTAAGTGGGGCAGGGACCTTAGTTTATCTTACAAATTAGGTCACGGAAGCCCAGAAGGTAAATTGAGTTATCTCTCACAGCTGTTCAGACTCACAGCCAGCTGATTACAGAACTGAGGCCAGGGGCTCAGTATTAGGACGCTGGGATAGAGAGACAGCCTCTAGGGTCTCTTTCTATCAGAGCTCTGAACCAAGAACTGAGTGAGCAGGAGAGAAAGATAGAGAGGTGAGCAGAGACCTCTTTCCCCAGGGCTGACATGGAGCCAGGTCTGTGCTCCTGGGCCTGGCACCTGCAAGCGCACCAGCTCTGAAATAAAACCGTACATCGCCTTTGTTCCTGCCCTCTCAGCCCTGCGGGCAGCCAAACCCATGAAAGAGACCCAGAGAGAGAGAGTGTGTGTGTGTGTGTACACATACACATGTCTGCTGTTCTTTTTTTAATGTTATCATTATTATTAATGAAAATTTACAGAGACTTTGGATTTCCATTCATTCATTGTTGCACTTTTCTCCTCTCCTAACCCTCCTCACTAGTACACTACCATCTTTGAAAAGTAAAAGGAAAATTCTTTCATTGTCCACTCCACTATGCAGCCTTTGTTCTGGACTCCTGTCATGATAATAATACCTAATCAAATGTCCCTTTTAAACAGTGCTCTCTCTCTCTCTCAATGTCTGCTGTTCCTACACATGCCTGCTGTTCTTTCGGTTTGTCACTAGAGGTCTTTTCCCAGTACAGAGCATTCTTGGCTTTCTACTTGTGGACTGCTTAGAACACTTTGGTGAATCATAGGAAGGAAGTTGACCTGGAGAGGGGCACCCTTGCTCTGTACCAGGAAGGCCTGAGGATTTTGTATTCACATTTTCATTTAATCGTTGCAGGAAGGTATCAATAAGGAATGTATTATTATCTCCAACTTATGAGTGAGGGACTGAGTCCTCCCAGAGAAGTGAAATCATCTACCCAAGGTCACACAGCTCACCACTGGCTGAGTTGAGTCCTCACTGTGGGACGCAGACCATTGGCAGTGCTCCTTCTCTTATGCCCTGGTGCTCCTCCTGTGGTTAATGCTCCTCTCTCTCCGGGCTTTCAGCTCCAAGATCTACATGGCTGACCTGGAATCTGCTCTACACTACATCCTGCGGGTAGAAGTGGGCAAGTTCGCGGTCCTGGAGGGACAGCGCCTGATAGCCCTGAAAAAGTTTGTGGCAGTGCTGGCCAAGGTGAGCAGGATATGGCCCCCTCCTTTTTGCAGTCTCACACAGGGTTAGTGTGCATCCCTGTGGGACAGGCCCTTGCTGGCCTGAAAGGGCTGTCTCTCCCTCAGGAGAGTCTAACTGGACATCTGGACCCATACCTCACCCCATTCACTGTCTGAGCCACTCCAGGGCCTCCCACATTGGGGTCCAGAGCCCTCCTGAATGATCCAGTGACTGTGACCGCCTGCCCCTCCCTCCACCTCAGTCAGATCCCTGGATGTGGATTCTCCTAATGTGGTCCCTGGGACTTGCAGTGCAGGAGGGGAGGGAGTCCTGTGCGGCCTTTCAGAATCTCCTTTCTTCTTTCTCAGTCATGGTCTAGAGTCTGAGCTGGCTCCCTGGCCCTTGCCAGGCCTTCCTTGTTCCTCTGTAGCTTGAGGTCTGCCAACTGTGATGTCTGCCAGGGTAGTGAGGATTTGGTGTGTGGCAAGCATTTAATTTAACACTCTTCTCTGCAAGGTGGGCAGTGTTATTCCCCCTTGACTTGAGGGGGCCAAGGAGATAGGTGACCTTAGGCCTCCCAGTTGTGAGGTGTCCTAGTCATAACCTGGGCTCCCCTTTCTCTTGTGTCTTTTCTCTGCTGTGTACCTTCTCTGAAGGCAGGATGAGAGCAACCTCTTCCCTCTGCTTCTCCCTCCCCACATCCTCCCTGCAGCCTCCTCGCTTCTTCCTGATCCACTGCCAGTGCTGCCCTACTTAAAAGCCGAGGAGCTGCGGCTGGGTACTGCTGAGTCAGGTTCGGGCTCGGGGCCCCTCAGAGGCTGTCTGCTGACATGGCTGTTCTCAGCCCAGAGGCCGGATCTGAGCTGTCTTCTCTGCAGGTTTGCAGGCAGCTGGAGCTACCTCTGGGGTGATTTGTGACTTTCCATCCAGGGAACTTCCTGCCACCCTTGCCCCTCCTCCCCACCTCACCAGCCCTGGCCTTCCTGGCCCGCTTGTCTGTCACTGTGGTCTAATCACATTGAGAAGACCCTGTGAAGTAGTGGGTGCTCATCACAGAGCACTGCTAGAATCTAAGGCAAGGCAGCTTCTGACCCCTCATAAAGACCCCAAGCAGAATAACCCCTGTTCTTTTGCCCACTGTGGCACTGGACACCTTTCCTCAGAGGCCATGTGAGCTGCTTGGTCCCCAAGTCACTGAGGCCTGTGACTCATAGAAAATCTGAGAGGAAAAGGGCCTCCAGTAGTTCTGTGTGCTGAGTGAGAACCCTAGAGTGCTTTCAGAGCCTGTCAGGGCTGAGGAGGCCATCTCACTGCACCCCACTCCAGCCCACTTTCACTGAGGATGAGCAGAGGGCCCACAGGGCATGGCTCTGAGACCCTCTGTTTTAGTTCTACCTACGTGCGTGTGTCGTGTCACACACACACACACACACACACACACACACCCCGTTTGAGCCCTACCCACATATGTATGTCTTGTCACACACCACCACCCCCCCAGAGTAAACAAGAGCCCAACCCTTGTTTGAATAGCTTCGATAATAACAATAGTACCTTCTCTAGTTCTTGATCTCTGACAAGATGTCTTCAAGTGCTCCTTGTTTTTATGAGTCTATTTTTAGTTCTCATAACAAACTGGGTACGGTTATTATCTGTGTTTTCTCAGCAAGGAAATAAAGGCCCAGAGAGGTAAAGCACCTTGCTGAAAGCCCTCCAGCCAACCTGGGCTCTACACCCATTTCTAACCTAACCCAGGCTCTTAACCACCGTGTGCTCCACTCTCAAAAGGCACTGAAATTCTAGAGTGGACCATGATTACCCTGCTCTGTTCAGCCTCTGAGAAAGATGATCTCTGGGTTTGATGAGCCAAAAGCACCCTCAGAAGGCCAGTGGGTGCCCTTATGCCCCTGCCGGCTTGCAGTCTTCCCGCAGAGTGGCTGAGCGGGGACTGGCCACTGGGTGGCGTGCAATCACCAGGCTTTCCCTGATACAGCCAGCGAGACTTCTGTAGCCTCTGTGCTTAACTCATCCTTGGCCTGACACCCTGACCCTGCAAAGTGGAGAGTTCTAAGTCAAGATGACAGGAGAAGTCAGTGAGAAACGCTGACTTTAAGCTGTAAATTGGTGGTGTGAGCCCCAGAGGTTTGTGTGAGCTAACAGGGGAGGGAGGGAGCGTGTCAAAACAGAAGATTCTTTTTGGTCACTTCTTGATCTGGAGGAAGGTGTCTTGCCCCAGAGGCTGATAAAAAGAAATCTATCCCCAGAAACCCTCTTCTCCCAAATGTTTTCCTTCCTCCACAAGTTTCCCAGTGTCTTCTCCTCAGCCTTGGTGTCCTCCTGGGTTTACCTGACCCACTCTCAGCTGCACGCCTCCGTCCTACAGCCAAATCCCTCCCACCCCCACGTGCACACACAAATATAGCCTCCTCCCTGGAGTCCTTGTGGGTTTAAAGTGCTGATACTAATCAGATTTGAGTTGACTTATTGTCAGAGTAGCCTTTCATATTCCTCAGAGACTACTGGGAGTTCCCATCAAGATTCAGATCTTGGCTATGGGCCCCTGAGCTGACTTGTCCCGCTTGGCCGCCCATGGAATACAAATGAAAGGCCCTTTGCCAGCCTAGTCCAGCCCATCAGTTAGTCAGCAAGTCAGCTGCTCTATCCAAAAGCCACCTGAAGAGATGACTGGTTCCCAGTGTTCCCTGGGAAATGGCACATGCTCCCCGGCATTCCTCACAGGGTGGAATGGGTCAGAGGTCACCACGGGTACCTGAAACAGGGGAACCATTCAAGTCCTAGCCCCATTTACAGCGTCGCTCCTTTCCTTGCCCCTGGTACTCCAGATAGCCCAAAAGCACAGGTACTGAGGAATCTATATTTGTACCTCAGAAAGAATGTTTCCCTGGGGGCTTAAGAACATACTAAAAAAAAAAAAAAAGCTTGGCCCAGTTCTCTAGAACGCCTTTCCCTTTTCAGGGCTGTGGAACTGGGGAGATTGTTTTTAAACCTTCGTCTTCCACCTCTTTTCTCTCCATAGTATTTCCCTGGTCAGCCCTTAGTCCAGAATTTTCTGCACTCCACCAATGACTGGCTCAAGAGGCAAAAAAGAGAGAAAATTCTCTACCGTTCTTTCAAAAGTGCCCTGGACAACAGAAGGGAGGTAAGTCTGAACTCTTTCCATCTCTGATATTAACACTTTAATATAGTCTCTGAGGTTCCTTACCAATATGCATTCAGAGTTGAATTCCTCCCATTATTTATAAGTAAACTGCACTATTTATTGGCCTCCCCTTTGATATCAGGTACTGTGCTAGGCTCTATCTGCCTTGCTTAAGTCTCATAACAGTAGTTGTTGTTGTTGCTATTGTTGTTATGTGCCGTATAGTTGACTGTGACTCATAGCAACTCTGTGTACAGTATCTCTGAACCCTGCTGTGTCTTGTGCCAGTCTCACTGTCTCCGACACACCTACTCTCACTATCCCAGTTTCTCTGTCAATCCATCATATCTGGGGTCTTCCTTTCCTCACTGACTCTCCACTGTTCCAAGCATGATGTCTTTCTCGAAGGACTAGTCCCTCCTGGCTTCTTGCCCATATTATGTGAGATGGAGCCTCAAAATCCTTGCCTCCAAGGAACAGTTTGGCTTCACCCTCTCCAGGACAGGCCTGTTAGTTCTCAGTCATGGTATGTTCAGTATTCCTCTCTAGCACTACAACTCAAAGGCTTCAGTTCTTCTTCTGTCCTCTTTGTCCGGCTCTCTGATCCATAGCAAGTAATGCAAAGACCATGGCCTGGATCATATGCACTTTAGTCCCTAGACTTAAGAGTGCTCATTAGCACTCTGGAGAAGTCCCTGACAACAGATTTGCTAATGCAATTTGTATGGACTTAACCTGATCTAAGTTCCAGGTTTTCTTACCTGCTGCTTCTGTCAGTAGATGTGGTAGAAGGGAAGCACCACCTTCAGGGTGCTAGACCGAGAGGGAAACTTCATTTGTCTTAGGGGTGTGTCTCCTGGAAGCTTCTCTTCTCACCTCCCATCTGATCCGTTTTCTCATATATATATATATATATGCGTTATTGTCTCTCAGGGTGCTGTTATTGCCCAGAAGGTGAACTGGGTTGGCTGCCAAGGAAGCGAGCCACATTTCCGGGGTTTTCCCTGCTCTCTCTGGATCCTCTTTCACTTCCTGACTGTACAGGCAACTCGAAAGAATCTCTACCACCCAGAAGAAACAGGTAAGCCCAAGGACTGCCATGCCCTGTGCCCACACATGGCCCTCGCATGTCCCTCAGCGGGCCTGAGGAGCAGGGTGGGTCTAGGATTCTCCTACCTGCTCCCTGCTGCTGGTTGATACTTAGTGGAGGAGACACACAATTCAACGCTCCAGTGGGAATTCTTTCCATGCAGCTGGACACACATCCAGCACAGAGCTAATCCAGGACCGGGACAGTCTTGGGAAGTCAACCAATCCTGTCGCTGACCTCTGGATGGTGGTAGAGCGATGTTTTCCAAACTCTGGGCCACTGAAGCACCTCTCTGTCATTCTCAAGGCCTTGAACTTACTTGATTTTCAGTCTTAATGAAAAATTTCTGATCCTCTTGTTTTTATTGCTCTCATAAAGAGAACAAGGTCCTGTCATAATTTTCATAGCTGGTACCATGTACTTTGACCATTCCATTTTCCACTGACAACAGTTTCTAGGGGAAGTGAGCACACTTCCCCCCTGCCCTGTTGTAGGCCTGCATAGTCTCACACCTGCTTCTAATGGCCAAAAGGATTGACGTCTGGCTGAACGCACACTTATCAAGTTTCCAGGTATACAGGTTCTGGCTCATCTGCCGACTGTGAAAGAGGCCAGCCTTGCTCCATGGGCTGTTTGAGGTGATGTGGACAGAGAGCTGCCCTGCATTGAGCTGAAGGAAAGCACAGAAATATGAGAGTAGAGCAGAGGAAATGCACAATTCTGGAGGGCCAAGCTTCACAGAGGAGGCAAGCAGTCTGAGAGTTGTTGGGAGATATATAGATATATAAGTTCTGAAATACATATATATATATATTTATATATATTTTTATGAGTTCTGCTGAGAAAGAAGAGCAGCCCAGACAGAAGGAATAGCCTTTGCAAAGAGTGACTTAGAGGACTGTCGGTGTGTAGAATGCTGAGTCAGTCAGTGTACAGACCGCTATTTATGTAGAATCTCAAACAGGCCAGGCCCCATGTGAGTTGCTGGGGTACAGCCAGGCATAGAAAAGCTCTGCTCCAAAGGGGCCAATATTCTAATGGTGGGAGTAACAGGTTACTTCAAGGGTGATGATGAGTGCTACAAAGACAAAGCAAAACAGCCTAGAAGAGGGGGCTAAGAAAGAGGATGCTTTTTTAAAATGTGGCTGAAGAAGGCCTTTCTGAGAAGGTAACCTTATGTTGAGATCTGAATTTTGAGAAGGAAACAGCTGGGAGGACACCTAGGAAGGGAGCCTTCCAGGTCAAGGAGCAGCTGATGCCTAGAACATGTCTGAGGGGTTTACACACAAAAGGCCAATAAAAGAGATGAGGCGGTGGAGGGCAGTGGGGAGAGGACGTGAGCACATGCAGGTTGGATTTTCCTTTCCACTTCTGCGAAAGTATTGGGGAGTTTCAGCAGGGGAGGGTCGTGAGCGATTTGTGCTTTAGAAAGATGACTGGGTGGAGAATGCGGCCTGGTGGAGGCAGACAACCAGTTGGGAAATGGTGGCAGTATCCAAGAGAGATGGTGATGGCCTCAACTAGAGGTGTCGGTGTGCAGTTGGGAGAAGGCTCAGGTTTAGGAATACGGTAGAAGTAGAGCTGATAGGACTGACAGTTTGGATGAAGAGCTTGTGGAAGTGGGAACTCATGGTTGGTGTGAGAGTTGTTTGGCCCAAGCATCTTTTAGGTGTTAGTCTCATGCACTAAGAAATGAAATGGTTTAAAGGTGGGAGAGAATCCATTATGGAGGAGAGGGGGATAAATTTTATGTCCATTAGACAACCAAATGGAGATGTAGACAGTGGAGTCTGGAGCTCTGGGGAGAAGTCCAAAATGAAGATGCTAGTTTTATGTGTATTAGCATATTGATATTTAAAGCCAGCAACTGCATGAGCTCACTGAGGGGTAGGTGGAAAAGAGGGCTGAAGGGTGAGCTCCGGGCACCGCAGCCTCCAGACCTCAGCCACCGGCAGAGGCGCCAGAAGAGGAGTCTTGAGAAGGAGCAGCCACTGAGGTTGCAAAAGTGCCCCTAAATAAGGTATTTCAAGAAGGATCGTGTAGCCAGTCAAGTCAATAGGGCTGAGAGGTGGCGTAAGATAGAGACCTCTCTAGCAAGAGCCACTTTAGTGGAGCAGTGGGCTCCATGAAAACCATAGACTGAAAACCCTAGAGGACAGAGCAAGACATCATGTTCAGTGAAAATGATGGGAGCCGTCAACACGATTGACACAGTAGGCGCAACAGTGGACACAGACATGCTAATACTCACAAGGAGGGTGCAGGCGGAGCAGCTTTTCCTTCTGTTACACATGAATCACTGTAAGTCAGGACCAACTGGACGGCAACTAACAACAACTGCTGTTACTCCAAGGGCTCTGGGACAGAAAAAGACTCTCTTTGTTGTAATTCTTTTTACCAGTTGGAATGATCCGTTATTAAGGGAGAACTTGATGATACAGTAAATAAAGACGATGTTGACAGGTGTAAACTCCTGGCGGAGGGTAGAAGGGGAGGATGTGATTTAGCTCAGGGTCAGGAGGTGGATGTTGAGGTGGATGTAGTCACAGGGGACAGCTGAACTGGATGTAGGAAAAGGTGTTTGGAGCTAAGGGGGCCAAGAGATGGTGAGGCAAGGTATGAATGAGTGTGGATGCCTGAGTTGCCATGATGCTGGGGTTTATGGTAGAAGAGAGAGTGAAAGACCAGGAGATTGGCTTTTAACGGGCTGATGCCTTTGAGAGACTCTGAATTGACAGATGTGGGGGTGTGCACTTACTCTGCCCCCAGCCCGGAGGTGCATTGGTGAGGGGAGACAGCAGGTTTAAAAAGTGCTATGTATGCAGGAGTAGTAGGATCTTCAGGAAGGAGCCCGGTTTCTGTTAGAATAAAAGTGTAGTGAGAGTAGTCAGAGTCTTTGCTGAGCCAGTCAAGTTGAAGGGCAAAGGTGGGTGAAAGAGGAGGTGAACACAAGCTGGGGTGTGTGCAGAGCTGGGTCAGGACAGACTTCTGATGGTGCCAGAGGGCTCAAGGAGGGTGAGAGCAAGGAGGCCAATACCAACAGGTGCAGGGGGCTGGAGGGGTGGACACTCTGACCTGCATGCCTCTTCACACACATCATCATGAACCTGTGTGCCCTGTGGAAGAGTTTGGACTTTATCCTGGATACACATAAGTGATAAGAATTTGAATGAATAAATGACAGAAAAGGAAAACTTGGATTTAGGGGTTTGAGAGGAGATGGGGTCCACTCTAACGTGATCCCTGAGAGATGAGGAAGGGAGCAGGGAGACACTGGGGCCCCTCTATGTATGGGCTGTGAGGTGACCTGTGAAGGGCTAACCATGGTGGCACTGGGGACAAGGTGGCCTGTGGAGAGAATAGTGGGACCAGCAGGTAACAGCAGCAGGAGGGGCTCCCTCGGTGAGCTTCTTGTCTCTTCTCTTCTCTCTGTAGCCAATCCCCAAGAAGTCCTCCAAGCTATCCGGGGCTACGTTCGGTGGTACTTTGGCTGTCAAGACTGTTCACGTCACTTTGAGCAGATGGCCGCTGCCTCCATGAACCGGGTGGATAGCCTGGATGGTGCTGTACTCTGGCTCTGGAAGGGCCACAACAAGGTCAATGCTCGCCTAGCAGGTAAGGACAGGGCCACCTCCATCTCTGACAGAGTCAGTGCAGGGGAACTGTGGAGTCCTGTGGATCGTCCCCGAGGGACCACCCGATGCTTCACAGTGCCTCACAGCTCACAGAGCCCTTTGCATGCTGATGCTTAGCGGTACCGTTAGGCCCCTTTTCTACAGAAGGAAACTGAGGTGCTGAGACTTGAAGGACCTTGGTTTTCTGACACCATTGCTGCTCCAGGCTCCCTTTCTGGTCCTTTGGGGTCCCTGGCATTCCTGGCTCTTGCTCCATTCCTCAGTCTGAGAATGGGGGAATAAAGCTGGACTTTTCTATTCCCTGCCTGGGAGGAAACTGACTAGGCCGTTCCTGGAAACATTAGGGGCTAATTCTCTTTTGTTGTTGTTATGTGCTGTGAATCAGAACCAACTCATAGCTGAGCCGCCAGCAGGTTTTCAGAGGCTGTAAATAACTGGGGAGTTGATTGCCCATCTTTCTCCCAGGGAGCTGATGATGTATTCAAACCATGAGCCTTTGGTCTGGCAGCACAGCTTCTTACCACTGGGCCACCCATCTTCTCTGAGATTCTCTTCTTTGCAGTGTTTTCCCCACTCAGGGGGCTAATGTGTCAATAGGTAAAAGCATTAGACTCCAGGGGGTAATCAGAGGCTGGTGGGGCGCCATCTGTGGACAGGGGTGGGCTAGACCGAGGGGTGCAGCAGGCTTGGGGAGGGGGTTTTGATAAGGCCTGGAGGCGGAGCCGAGGTTAAAGGAGCTGAACAGAGCAGGTGGTGGGTGCGCAGTGCCTGCACTTGGTCCCTGTCTCCCGGGACCTCAGGGGTAGACTTTGAAAAGAAGACACGTGCCTGCCTTCTCCTCTGGCTCCGCCCTCGCCCCACCCCTCACCACAAAATGCTTCATTTAACCCTGCAGCCCTGTGACCTCCCTGGGCTCCTAGCTTCCCATGGGCTCAGCTGCACAAGTGCTGAGTAACCCACCTGCCACTGGAGGGGCTGAGAGCTGGGATCTCTCCCCGAGGGACTAAAAGGAAGCCAGATCTCTTACGTGGTCTTTTCCACTCTAACTGATCATATTTGTTGTTGTTTTGTGTGCTATCGAGTCAGAACTAATCCAGCTGACCCTCTAGTAAGTTTTCAGAGGCAGTAAAGCATCTTTGCCCATCTTTCCCTTGGAACAACTGGTAGATTTGATCTACCTGCCTTTTGGTTGGCAGCACAGCTCCGTACACAGTAGACCACCAGAGTTTAGCAGATCCATAGTGAGTGCTTAACTTTGCACCAGCTGGGTACTGTTAGTCCTCACTGGGACCCAACCCCTGGAGTCTCCGTGTTACCCCTTCCTAAAACAGCCATTCTGACTTTGATATGATTTGCTGCTACAGCTTCATTATAGTTAGCAGCTTCTGGTTTCGTGCTAAAACTTCCAGCCAGGCTTTCTGCACGAGATATGGGTTCCTTAGCATCTCTAGGCACTAAGGTTAGAGCAGAGACAGACTTCTTCCTAAAGAACTGGCCCCGACTTGAGCCCCTATCAGCCTGGCAGTCACTCTCTGACCCTCCCCAGTGCCCTCTTTCTCTGTCCAGACCCTAGGCTCCATGTATACCTCAGAAACCCACTTCTGGAGGGGGAAATGATGCCACCTCCCCCTTATCACAGGGGCTGCTGCACAGGGCTCTTACAGAATCACCAATAGTGACAACTCTTATTACAAAAAAAGCATTTTCCTTGAATTACAAAAATAATCTATATTCATGGGGTAAACTTGAAATGTTCGTGAGAATTTTGAAAGATAACCTGCTCCTCAAAGAATGAAAATAAACCCCAGCAGCAGACCAACCTGCAAAGCAGACCATCCAGTCTGCCAGCCCATTCCTGTGTCTGACCCAGGGGGACACACTGGCAGTGAAATCATGGAGGGAGAAGGAGTCTGGGTGATAGATACCAGGGTGGCTGGGATGGAGCTGTTCTTTCCCCGGGACACTGTGGAGGCTGGGATGAGAGGGGGAAGGAGTTTCCTGGCACATGCACCCCACCCCCTCTGCTACCCTATGCTGGCCCTTCAGCTGCTGTCCTTGAAAGGCATAGGAAGCCCTCTGTGCAGAAGAGGAAGCTGGCACTGTGAGGAGAGGAGCAAGGTCTACACTTGCAGGTGGAACTCGTGTCATACTCAGCTGTGTGTGCTTCTCTCCCCAGGTTCCCCCAGTGAGGACCCCCAGTTCCCCAAGGTGCCGTGGCCAACACGTGAACTCTGCCCTGCCTGTCACAATGAGCTCCGGGGGGAGCCAGTGTGGGACCTGGGTGCCACCCTGAGCTTCCTCAAGGCCCACTTCTCCCCACAAAATGTGGTCCTGGGCCTTCCTCGGGCTGGGCCGGGCCTCCGAGTGATTAGGGAGCAGGTGCCTGAAGTGCTGGAGCTGGCCGCTGGAAATGCCACTCTGAGCCCTGAAGAGGCTGCAGCCACGATGGGCCCAGGGACAGAGTCCCCCAGAAACACCATTCCAGATGTTCCAGCTGAGGACCCTGGCCTGGATGTGATGAGCGCTGCACCTGGCCGTGCAGAGGAGCTGCCTGAAGACAAGGAGGAGCAGCCCCATGGGCGCTGGCGCCTGACCAAGCGAGACACAGGGGCAGTGCTGCTGCCCAGGTTGCGGGCTGATAAGGACCCCATCAGGGGCACTTGGGAGTTGAGGAGAGTGGGCCGCAGTTCCAAGCAGCTGGCCAGCATCTCTGAGGGGGAGGCTGAGCCTGGAGCTGGGCGGGGCCGACGCCAGTGGCTACAGGTGCTAGAAGGGGGCTTCTCTCACCTGGATGTCAGCCTCTGTGTGGCGCTCTACTCCTTGTCCTTCATGGGCCTGCTGGCCGTGTACACATACTTCCGGGCCCGGATGAGGGCTCTGAAGGGCCGTGCCAGCTACCCCACAGCATGAACCCTACAGCTTGGGGGAGGCAGGCAGGGAGCTGCCCTCCACGGGTCAATTCCAGTCACCACCTCCTTCCCCCGGCCTCCCACACCTCCCTGCTTAGCCTAGAGAACGGTGACTCCCTGGAAGCCAGCTGTTCTAGTGACCCTCCTTGTACCTTCTTGGAAAGTGTTCCAGAGACACAAGGAGAGTCCAGGTCTATCCAGTAGCAAAAAGGAAGGCAGTGTGTTTGAATGGTTCAGTCCCTGGCCTCAACACCCAGTTTCTGTTTCTTCAGCTCATTTGCAGTTCTACTCAGTTCTTGTTGAAGCCTCATTGTCTCCCACTTGAATTTGGCCCTAAACTGGGATGTGTGAGGTCATAGTTTCCCATCCAGGGGAGGGTCTTTTTTGGGCTGGGTGGGCATCCAGGGCTCTCTTTGAGCAAAGAGGTCTCTGCAGCAAAGAGGAAGATCCACTTTGGGCCCTCTGTAGCCTCCCTGTCCTCCGCCCCTCAGACTTGCAGCATGAGATTTGGCTTTGTGTGAGGTCTGGAACCTTCAGCTGGTGGGTGTTGGTGGCTGGACTGTGAGGAGTGGCTTGCTTGGCAGGACCTGATGAGGTGGCAGCCTGAGACATAGAGGAGGATGTGGGGCTTGATAGTGCCTTGGCTCTGGCTTAACCGGGAGGTAGAGCAAAGCTGTGAGGAAAGATGGCTGCTTCAACAGTGCTTGGCTTCTCCCCGTTGGGCTCTACCCTTCTCTGAGCCGAGTCTTTTTTTATTAATATTATTTTGTTTTCCAAAGTAGATGCTAATCTTTGACACTGATGGTAGCTGCACCGGGGTAAGGAGGAGGAGGTGTCCTCTAAGTTCCACCTCCCAGTGTGCGGTGTTGTGAAAGGTCTGAGGGGAGGGTAATGCTGTAAACACATTTTTTCCCCACTCTCCCCCACTGCTGGGGCGCGGGAATAAATTATTTTTATTAAGGCAAACATCAGTGTCTTCCCTCACTTGTTGCTTGGAGACCTCGGGTCCAGCTGCTCAGAACGTGCAGAGCCAGGCTTGGTTTTCCCAGCACACAGCTCCTGGCCCACATGGGAGCCTCTCTGTGGAAAGTGCCCAACTTTCTCCTGAATGCGGCCCTTGCCCACTACCACAGAGCTTTGGACCACAGGCCCCTTCTGTCCTCAGCTGCACCCCAGTAAGACTCAGCAATGACCCCCACGTTCTTTATTTCACTCTTCCAGGAAACACCTACCTCTGTTCCCACTTCTAGGGCCTGGCACCTCCACTGGGCTAGTCAAGGAAGGAAAGGGCTTGTCTGAGAGGGGCCTGGGCTGCCCAGCAGGAGGAGTCAGGCGGATTAGTGAGCTGCTCTTAATCTGCCTGCCAGCCTGGGCTTTGGGAGGATCAGAGCAGCTGATAATGAACCTCATTAAGGAGGAGCTGGAGCCACAATCCGATTTGGGGTTTTCTCTCTGACATCTTCACTGTGCTCAGATGGCCTTGGCACTGGGTGGAACAGGTGGGGCACTCTGCTGGGGCAGCTGGGGTGCGGATAGGGGGTGCTCAGGTCAGAAAACACACACCCTCCCCTGCTTGTTTCTGCCCCATTTGACCTCTTTAGCCACATGGCTTTTCTGGGTGTGTTCCTACCCAGCTCTCTGCAGCCCTCTCTGTCCCAGCTTCTCTCCCTGTGTCCCTTTTCCAGTTGTCCCTTATCCTCCTGGGCCTGCTCTGCCCACTTCCCCTTCTCTGAAGGACTGGGTGACAGCACCACCCACCCCAACTGGGCATTTTAGAGGCAACCCTGATTGGGATGAGGGTGAAAAAAAATGTGTCCAGGAGCATCCACAGGCCAAGTCCGCTGAGAACCCTCCTCCCCACTGCCCTGCCTGCACCATGGTTAAGTGCAAAGCATTTCTGTTAGCAAGCACTAGAGCTCTAGTGACCCTATTTTCTAGAGCCAAGACCATGCTGAAACAGCTGCAATGGGCAGCCCCTTTCCTTAGTCATCCCCTGGGGCCTGTGAAAAGAGGTGAGTAGATTTGGGGTCCACTTGGGCACCGCCTCTGGGTGTGAGTCTCCTCCCAGCTGCCCCCTTTTGCCCTGTCCCAGCCCCACTGATTGATAAACGGGATGGGCGGCGCCTCCTCAGCAGGCCTGCTGCCTTTCACCTTGATTTCCCTAGGGCTCTGGGCAGCAGCATTGATAAACCGGCCTCCCACCAGCTGCTCCCCTCCCCCACCCAGGCTGCCAGCCTGGGAGCCCTTTGCTGGCTCCAAGTGCTGTTCTGCTGTTACAGGTCCTTTCTCTGCACCCTGGGGAGGATCTGTGGCAGGAGCACATCCTCAGAGGAGCCCTGAAAAAACAGAGGCTTCTGGTTCAGGGCCTGAACAGAGTCACTGGCCTTTGTCTGGGGTGCTACCAAGAGATCCCGAGCTAGGTCTGAAAGATGAGTATGGGTTAATGAGGACGATGAGGCAAAGGTATTCCAGAGAGAGATGAGAGCACGTGTGAGACCCAACGAAGAAAAATGGGGAATACACAAAATTCTAAGGAACCCTGTGGTACAGTAAATTAGAACATCGAGCTGCTAATTGAAAGGTCAGCAGTTCAGATCTACCAGTTGCTCTGATGGAGAAAGGTGGTGCTCATCGTTGAGATTTAGACTCCGAATTAACTGGATAAAAATGAGTTTGGGTTTTGGTATGCAAAATTCTAAGCAAAGACTTAACAGTGTAAGGGTTTTCTCAGCGCTGTAGTGTGCTAGAAGTGAAAGTAAAACAGAAGAGAGCCATGCTCCCTGCTTTGTGGGGTTTACGTTTGAGGTGGGGGAAAGGCAGACAAAGGGGAGACATTCTAGATTGTGCTAAGTGTCTTGAAGGACTGGGGACATTAAGCATTGTCACCATGCCTCTCAGACTCGGGATGAAAAACTGGAAGTGAGAGTGGGATGCTGAGGCAGGAGAAGTGGCCTGGCTGGTGTGGCGGGGCCTCATCCTTCAGAAGTCACCTCTGGCCTGAGGAGATCCAAGAAAGATGGACCGCCTCACGTCTGGCCTAGCTTCTCCCCAGAACAGCACCCAGGTGGGGATTCCCCCACCCTGCCCTGTGCACCTCATCCTCAGGACATGTGTTGGGAGGACTGGGCTCTCAGAGTCCAAAATAGACTTAGTCTTTCAGCAAAGACTGAGAAGGGCATTAGGGAGCCCCTACATCTGGCCTCTTGGTGGGAGAGGTCAAGTTCAGCCTCTAAGAATACGGCCACTGGTTAGGTGTGAGTCCAGGCTGATGCCTTCCTGTGTCAGTAGAGATAAACCACCTACCTCATTGGATTTTCCTGCTGTGTCGCACACTGGTTGCTAATTGTGTAAGTCACCTTACTACACACAAACTAGGGGAACTCTGGGCTCTCTGAAGAATGCCGCTGAGGTGTGCCTCAGATGATAACCCCTGCACCTCCTCAGCGGGTGCCAGTGGTGCCCGTAGAATTCCTAAGTTTAACTGGGGTGTTGAGTGAAAAGAATGCCTTTCTCATCCCCAATCTACCATGGCTCCTTAGAAAATGTTTCCATCATAGAAAATGTTTCTCCTTTTACATAATTTCCCACTTACTGATCTGTACTCCCATTTAACTCCCATTGACACCATCAGCAACAATTGGGTATTATTATCAACTGAATATCAATTTCAGAGATGAAGAGTCTTAAAATTAAGAAATATTCCATTCAAGGGGAGCTCTGGTGGCCTAGTGGTATGGAGCAGCAACTACAATCCCAGAGGCGCACGGTTCGAATCCACCAGATGCTCTGCCGGGGAAGGAGGGACAATCTCCTGTACCAGTCAGATCTGATTTGACGGTACACTCACACAAAAATAACAAAAATTAAAAAAAAGAAATATTCCATTCACATTACTCCTAACTAAAATAAATTTGCCGAAGGGATCTCATAATAAAAATCCAGGACTTGAAACCTGGGTGCCACACCCTCTTTGTGGAGTCACAGTTTCTATGCCTTCCCTCTCATAGGTTCTTATTCATCTAGAACAATTACAGCATTTGTCCCTGTGAGACTTTATTGGGTGGCGTTGACATGACAGTGGCGACATGCATCCATCCCTCTTCCCCTCGGATAGTGTCATGTCAGCTGCAGGCAGTATCCAGAGAGTAGAGGACACCTGTTTTTTTGTGTGTTACTAAGGAATAAGAACTATACAGGAAAGTGGTCTGGGGGTGAGGGTACTGTATAACAATGAACTTTTTTTTCCAAAGAAAAAAGCAAACTGGGTGAGAGGGAGGACGGGGAGGGAAATGTGCAACGATGAATGAATGGAAATCCAAGTTTATAAACTTTCATTAAACTATCCATTAAAAACTACATAGAAAAAAGATTTTGTAGCTAAAATGACTGAGGACAGGGCCGTGAAGAAGACCTGGATTCTAAGTGAGAGCCTTTACCTCTCACTGCACTGACAGAACAAAAAGTTTTTCCCTGGGCTGAGGCTCTTAGGGAAGGTGGGCTTCACACATAGCCTGTTAACCTTTACCCATCCCACCGCAGTGGCAAGGTTTGCCTCACCTGTCTGAAAACCTTTGCCCACAATAGAAAAGCAGTAACTATCGCTGGAATTAAAAACCTCATCTAGCTTGAATCAGCTCCACAATTTCCCCACCTGGTTTCTGACCATCTCAGTGGTTCCAAGGCTCAGAGCTGTGCTCTAGGGAGGTAGGGGATTGTTCAGCAAATGAAGCTGAGAACACTGATTATTTGGAGGAAAATTCAGCTACCTTTACATCATATACTGAAATAAATTTCAATAGGTTAACAAAACCGATGTAAAATAAGGAAGAGGAAAAGAGAACTGAATACCTCATAGTTGAGAATTTGATCTACTTGACAGCATCAATGGGTAAAAGACATGGAAAGAATTTTCACAGAGGAAGATACTTGAATGGCCAACAAACACATTCAGAAATGCTCCAAATCACTGGTAATAAAAGAGATGCAAATCAAAACCACAAT